TCTACACATCTGATGAAAGTGATGAAAGTGGAAATCAAGTCAAGTGTACAATTGATAAATATTGGTCTAAAGTTTTTAATTTAAAAGATGATTTCACAAATGATTATAAGTATCCTACATTGGCTAAATTGGTCAAAGCCTGCCTTAGCTGCTTCCATGGCCCATTAGTGGAAAGTGCATTCAACTTAATGGATACACTTGTCACTGACTATAGAACCTCTCTTAAGATTGATTCCCTAGATGCAGTGCAGACTATTAAATATGATTTAATGGCTTCTAAAGAAACCTCATGTGAAAAATATGGCTAAAAAAATCCAATGACTGATCCAATTCACAAAGATCTCTTACTGAATATGAACAGAAGTTGGAAAAACATATCAAGAGGACTTAAAAACATGTATTTCAGATGAGTCACCTATAAAAGTCTCTGAAAAACCTTCTACATTAGCAGAAAAGCAAACTGCTTCTACCTCTGCATGTGCAGTTCTCGAGGAAATTTCTTCAACTGTAAATGAGGAAAATAAAAGTCAACCTTCCTGCAATTATGAAGTTCACCACAAAAGAAAGACAAGCCCACAAACATCAGAAAATAAAAAAAAAAAAAAAAGCAGCAGAAATTAGATAATTTTTTTTTTAAAGAATTAATTCAGGTAATTTAAAATATTTACATAAAATGTAGTATTTTATATGTTTGAAAATTTATGGTTATTAATTTTGCAAACAAAGTAATTCATTGAACTTTTATAATTAGGTCATTCAATACTTCATAATTGTAATTTTTCATTTCTCTCCCCCCCCTTCTCGAAACTCCAAAATGTCGGTAGGAAGTCCGTAAAAGTTTCAGGGGATTTCTTGGGGTCCCACAAACACCCCTCAATGTTAGAAGGATGATCTCCATACAAGGTAAATCATATGTCACTCTCATTTTCTGAATTTACGTCTATGGGAGCTTGTTTTATACTTAAATGAAAAGGAGCATTATAGCTATTTATTAAGTTGTCCAAGATATCTACATATTTGTATGTATTTCGAGTCGTAAAGTATTTCCACATTTTTGTTTTCAAAGTGCGATTAAACTTTTCCACCACGGATGCTTTAGTAGTATTAAATGTATTGAAAAGTTTAACTTGATTTCTTTTTAAAAATTTTTTAAACACTTTATTTTTAAATTCGGTATCCTGATCAGTTTGAAGTGATTTTGGTTTACGTTCACTCGTTATTTTTTGAAACGCTTTCACAATATCTTCTCCTCTCTTTTGTTTCAGAGGAATAGCCCATGCATATTTGGATAATATGTCAATACAGGTTAATATATATCGATAACCATCATTATGATTACGTAAATATGAAACGTCTACTAAATCAGCTTGCCATTGTTGATCTATAGAATGCACTATTACTCTATTCGTTGGAAATTTTTGGCGAATTGGCTTGTGATGAGTGTATGCATCTATTCTCTTCAACCATGTTTGAATCTCTTTCCAGGAAACTTCACCTCCTGCAGCACGATGAAAAGCCTCGACACCACCAAAACTTGCAACATTAACTAGATCATGATACGATAAATTCATTTTCATAACACATAGAACTATTCTTCATATGGATAATTATAAGTTCCCACTGTCTTTAAGGGGTAAAGTCAATAGGAATATTATGAAATTCTATAAAAATATAGATGAATGATAAAATAACACATAAAACAGTGTATAAACACTCCGCAACGGTGGCATCGCCTGAGGCAGGCATAATTGCAATTGATGAGCCGATTCTAATTTCATTTTTTTATATAGGCTTTGTAGCCTAAATCTGAACGTATCACATGAGCTTAGTGGTTTAATCTTTAAACTACTAAGCTGATGAGATATTTTGTGCGAGGGTTCGATCCTATATTTTAAATAATACAAAATTAAAAAAAAAAAAATTCCAAAATAGATTATTTTCCTTTTTTGCCTCTAGAGAGTAGCATGAGCAATTCCTAAATAGATTTTCTTTTTTCGTCCTTAGAGAACGCCATGAGGATTTGTACCTCCGCTGCCAATTTTAAAAAACTAAATTTAAATGAAAAGCAGGAGGTCTACAACTCAATCAGCAGCAAAAACAACTCAACTCATGACGTCATTGGTTTCGCCCCTTGGTGTGATGTCATAGATGAGGTTGCCCTTGGCCACGCCCTCTATGTGACATCATCGGCCACGCCCCAGACCCTCTGGCGCAAAACTGTCATTTTTCTACTACTTTGGGGCCGCGGAAATTTAATTCTGATACATGAATTTACAGAAATTACATTAGTTGATATTAATTATATGCCATATAAAATCCTAACGAAATCTGTTGAGGTATCGAGTGACTCAAACTTGAAACTTGAGTTTCCATAAAAATATTTGATCCAAATCTGAATCGGTGCTAGAACTGAATTTTCTACTATTTCTAAAATGGCACTAAATGCTCTTCTGCCATTCAGCGCCACATAAATTATTTTTTCAGCTTTAACGCTTATTAAATCCAAATATTATACTACTGAAAAACACTCAAGATGCTTTACCTCCCCCCCGTCATTCTTTATTTTATATTTAATATCTGGGATCGCGAAAATACTCGATGATAAAAAGGGGTCTTGAATGAGAAAAGTTAAAGAAGCATTGATGTAATAACATAACAATAGTATCATAATACAAATAATTCCAAGTAAATAATTTAGACAAAGAATATGAACAGAAGTTTTCGAGGAAAGTTTTATTCGATACATGTTTTATTATGTTTTGTATTTTTATTATTTTTAAATTTACAAACATAAACTAGTTTTCAAAACAAAATGAGATTCTAATTGCACAAAAGTTCGATTTTAATTAATATGATGGGTGCGATTGGTGTATTGATGCAGCATTTTAACATCTTTTGAAGTAAAACTTCCTAACTTAAAATTTAGTATTTAAAAAAATAAAATAATTTTAATATATTTTTCCTTATACTTATTTTACATGATTTCTTATTCACAACATCATAGCTGCCAACCTTAAAATCTTATAAACGGGGGTTTTTTTGCGAGAAAATCGGCAGAAACAGGAATGTTTCCACGTTGCGCGGCGACACCATTTCAGAGGAATTCCAAACTGTCTTTAATTCACTTTGTTCAGGTTACTGAACTTCGTAATTTAGTTCTGACAGAAAAATATATTAGCGTTTGATTTGAATATTTTAAATTTTATATTCGGCTAGGTCAATTTTGAAAGTGTCTATTTATGCTTCTTGCTATATTTACCTAAAATTAGTTGCCGTTTTGAAGGATAATTTTTCATATTATTTAATGTTATCAAAAATGTCGCGGACAAGCGTGATCAGATTAAGTGGTGCCTACTGAATGATCAGAAGATACCCCACCCTCCATGACAAATCGAGAAAAGTATACAGCAATGAAATTCTTACAGATTATTGCAAAAGGTAACGAATGAAATTTATTAGAAAAAAATCTTTTTACATTATTACTCTACGCAGAAGACGTGGATATTCTTACACATTAAAACACACACACATTTAAAAAAGAACTATAATGGTTACAAGATGCAGTAGAAATTAAAACCATTGAATATATTAGAGGCAATATATGAAAGCCGGCATTCTATAGAATACCTAGCACTTGACCGACCGCTAGCGGTTCAACAGCATACGCACGTCCGACCGGCCGCAGATTCTCTCTGTTCTGAATAACTGTCAGAACACTCTGATAAATCGTCTAAATAAAAACTCTCAAGTACCATTTTTTTTCGCTCATCGTGAACGGTAATTTTTTAAAAAACGGTGTGAAAATGTATGAGTTAACGAAGCAACGCACTTAACGCAAGTGAGCAATGTACCTCAATACTAATAATAAAATGCAGATGATATAGCAAATGGCAATTGTTTATTGCAATGGCTACCGACTGATAGGTTATTTTTAGGTAGCTCCGAGAAAAAAGCGATTAATAGGCTATCGGTCGGTAGGCGTTGGCGAAAAAAAGCCGATTAATAAGCTATCCATCGGTAGGCGTTTGAGGAAAAAAAGGCCGATTAATAGGCGATCGGTCGGTAAAGTGCTAGGCATTTTATAGAATCTGAAAACTGGTCGGCAATTATGAAACGATAAACATTTCATAACATTTCGAGAGCATTCTGTAAAATGCCAAATTACAGCCTGACAAAGAATGAAATACATCGCAAATTCATTCGTTTTGAATCATGAGTCGATGGTGAATTAAATTGACACGTTGATGACATGCTTATCAAAGATATTTCCGTTTTTGTTACCAGATATGTGTGCTAGGAGACCAATGATGCACAGGATGCACACAGTATTATAAAAAAATTCATACCTTCTGTTGCCATGCTAGTAAAGATGTTGAAATGAATATAATACAATAAAATGATAATAATTTTAAATAACAGCATTATCGCGACTTTTTTCATACTTTGATTAAATAGCATTTGTCATTCTATAGAATACCTGGAGAAAGTACATAATAATTCCTATATTTCATTTTTTGCCTGAAAACGCCAGGCATTCTATAAAATGCCTAAGAATTCTATAAATGCCGGTAATAAATGCAAATTTATTCGCTCAGTTGTGGTTCAGGAATGCCATTAACGCTTAAAACTCATTCCATTTGAGGCTAACTGAGACAAGAATTTCAGTAGAACTAATAAAGGAATGGACAAAAAGATATAAGGACCCTTTTTTTTTTTTTTTTTTTTTTTTTTTTTCCTTTTAACTGTTTTTGGTACTAAAGATACATACATAATTTTAAATTATCACACATTTCTTAAAATATATGCAGAAAATTATTTAGGACATAGCATTTAAACAGTATTTGCTGCAAAAGCAAATGACATGGTACATTACCTGAACTGACACTGATGTTCTTAAAGATGAGATAGAATTTTAATAATAATTTATACATTCTCATAACAATAGGAGAGATATAAGTTAGCAAAATAAAAAAACAAAGATCTTTGAAAATTATACTCACAGCCTAGAAGCCTCATTTGCCACGTCATCACCTTCAATACGGTATATTTTCCCGTAGCAGACGTACTCGAAAGAATCTGCTCGTGAAGGAACTTCACGTGTTTCGGAAGTCGGCACCCACTCTCCATCATCAGGCAAACCACTTTCTTTTAAAGTAGATGCAACTACCAAACGAAATTTATCCCCTGTGGTAGAGATGTGAAGCAAGACAACATAAAATAAGATCATATTAGAATAACAAAAACGTGACATGCATCTTCAAGGATCTTATAGTAGAAAAGGCGAAGAGAAAAAAATGTGTGTGGCATATCAATATTCTGATTTAAGCTAATATTTTTTTATCCACATTAGTTCTAATCTACAATCTATTTTATTTAGGTTTCAATTTAGATTTCCAAAGCAATTTTGGTTTCCTCCTCTCTTCTTCTTTTTCCTGTTTTTATTAATTATTTTTTAAAATTTCAAATCAGAAGATAATATAAGTTTTATCAGTTTCATTTTATTGTATAATTATATATTATTACATGACAACTGTTAAATTTTTGAGTCTCTTTGTTAAAACGGCAGAAATATTACTAAAAATCTGCTAATAGCGCATTAATTCTAGTGCAACTTGCTTCGTGAGGTGAATTTCATAAGCATGATATATTTTAAGAGTCATTTAAACTTTTATTGAAAAAGAAGTCAGTTTTCACTCCGTCAACTGAAAATTGCAAAAAATTACTATCCACATTTCTTAATTAACTTTTCTAAAGGAAACCTCTCAACCTGATTGAAACTCATACAAAAGCGAATTTTCCATGATTTTTGAGGCACAAATGTACCAACAGAGCGATTGACATTTAGAGCGGGGGGGGGGAGTTAGACGGCAAAAAACAAAATCTTTGGCGATGAAGATAATTCTTGCCATTTTGATTCAAATCAAATAATGGAAATATAATTTTCTTTGTGAAAACGTTAAAAGATGGAAAGAGAAAGGAAAGTATACAGCAGTTTTATCCTATAGAGGGATTCAAACTTACCAAGTTCCATGGGATAAGCTTGAGTGTTGACATCCAGAATGAGGTCCATTTTGAAGGATTCACTTTCACAGTGCAAGCGACTGACTAAAAAGGGGAGGAAAAAAAAACTATATCATTACATAAAATAATACTTGTTTCAGAAATATATGTTCTAAATTTACCAGTTTCATTTATTTCCTCACCTTCTTCAAAATGAGAAAAATAAATATATTAAGTAACTTAAGTCGCCAAACACCTTCAGTTACTAGCAAACTCGACAGACATCTTGGTTATAAGTGACCAACTTATAACCAGGATGTCTGTTGGATAGTAAAGATACAAACATATTAAGACTACACCATCAAAACGAATGACACTTCAGACGGGTCACAATAGTGCTACTTTGCACTTGAGGAACACATAAAATCAGAATTTGACCTTATAGTTATATGTACTATTTACGTGTGAAATTCACACATGCAATCCTGTTTTATAAATAACAAAGTTATATATGTTAGGTAAGAAACTTTAATTACTATACGTATGCGCAGACAGGCAGATAGATAGATAGATATAGATATATGTAATAAAACAGTAGCTCGTTGTAATAAAGCAAACTTAGAAGTACTATTGATGGCGTAAAATGTTCTTCCATACTGACAAGCATACTTAGCAGTTGAGGTGGATTAATAATCACCTTTACTTCAATTGACGACTGCGGCCACAGTTCACTTGGCACTCTAATTGTGCCTATTCAAGAGCATTTACATTTTTGATACTGTTACGATAGGAAGAGAGCAGCAAAGCAGCGTAATGGGTAGAAACGAAAGTGCGAGAACAAGTAGAACAAAAGTGTGCGGTTATCCAATATGGAAGCTCACCAAGACAAAGGTTTCAGTTCTCAAAATTTTAAGTTCTGAATTAGCTATGTCATCAGCGTTACGCAAGTCATATGATATGGACTGATCTAGAAATGACGCAGTCCAGAAATAGTTATTGCTATTTTTAGAATAGAGAAGGGAATACAAAAATTAAAATTAAGGAGGTTAGGGGATATTGCTAATTTAAATTATAATTTTGATTTATATATTTTTTTTATCTTAGCTCAAAATTTTAACTTTAAATTAGCAGAACCCGTCACCTCTCAAATGGAAAACACATATGACGGTCATGGACAAAGCCACGGTTTATACCTCGAATCCTTTTACTTGATCTTGTTCTACAACGAAAACCACTATGATGTCAGTAGACTGAAGAACTGCATATGCGCAATCCTTTTCGACGTGCCCAAACTGCTTCACAACTTTGCTCTTCCACCACGGCGAGCGAATACAATCTTTAATCTGCTTCTCGCTAACAATATCTATTATATTTCAATCAATCAGGGTGATAGTTTCTTGAAGAGACATAGATTTCTTTTGGCTTTCTAAATCACTACATTAAATTTATTCTTTGATGTTTCAAATGTGCTTCCCAAACAGACGTCAGCCAAATAATGCTTTGTTTCGACAACTGCATCGCAAATTGCGGGAGGCAGCTTTTCAAGTGTGCGACAGATGTGCATTCTCTAGCAGTAGAGCCACATCGGTACTGAACGCACACCTGTCGTAGAGGAAGCTGAGCTACGGGAATTACGAACCCCCATACAAGTCTCCGCGCAACGGGGCGCGTTTTGCATGTACATCATTCTACCATTATTGCGCATACTGCAAGAAGACATGTTACACCTTTACCAGGTCTAAACAGTACAGGCATTATGCGATGGCAATTATCCCCAACGTGTCGCATTTGCATGCTGGTATTTGCACAAATGGGTCGCACAGCCGAATTTTCGATTGTGGATTTTGTTTTCCGATTAAGCATCTTTTACTCGAGACGGTGCCCTTAACCTGCACGTGTGGGCGCATTGAAACTCAAGGTGTACATGTGCCCATAGAAGTCAACAACATTGGACCATAAATGTTTGTGCTGATATTATCGGTGACATGTTAACTGGCACTTACCTCAACGCCTCGAAGAAAAAAAAGATCATACTTTTTTAGAAAGAGTGTTGCCGGATCTGACGGTTGACGTCCCAGCAGTTATACATTAAAACATCTGGTTTCAGTATGATGGAGCGCCTGCACATTTCAGCAGTGCCGGAATACCTCGGTAGGACATATCCTGATCGCTGGATTGACAAAGGCGTATCAGTCGCACGGCCATTTTGATCCTGTCGACCTGACTCCCTTGGATTTCTATTTGTGGAGAACCATAAAGTTCATGGCGTACGGGACAACTGTAACATCGGACATGTATCTCGTCGCCATGATTATGGAAGCGGTAGTAAGTGTCCATGACGGTGTCCGACCAACTGTACAAAATTGTTGAAACGATTACTGAAGAAATAAAATACAAGAAGATCACAAATGGAATTTTCTTATGGCCATACAATTCCAAGGCTTTCGATCGCGTATGGCTGGAAGCACTCCTCTACAAAGTACACAATCTAGATTCCCCAGATTACATCACAAACATAATTAAATCCTATTTGATCGGTGGACACTTCGTTGTTCATGTTTTCAGCTCGTATTTTACACAACGTCCAATATTAGCAGGCGTAGCCCAGGGGTCTTTCCTGGCACCCACACTTTTTAATATTTATATGAACGACATTCCTACAACACCTAACACGACACTCGCAATGTACGCAGATGACACAGCGATCCTGACGCAATGTGCATTTGTTGGATCAATCATACAACAGTTACAAGATCACATAAACATACTTGAAATTTGGCTGCAAAAATGGAAAATCCTTGTTAATGCGGACAAGACGCATACCATCTTGTTTACCAAGAAAAAGAAAATTGATAAAACTTGCATTACTACGGATCTCTGGGCTATGAAGATACCTTATCTCGAAAAGATCCTCAGTAATTCTTTCACATAGATCCCACACATAACATCTCTCTTACAGAAGTTTCGAGCTCGTAAAGCTACACTATTCCCCTTAACTGCTCGAAACAGTGTTCTATCTATAGACAGCAAGTTACTCATTTACGAATCCGTATTGCGTCCCATGCTCTGTTATGCCTGCCCATATGGGCATATTCTTGCAAATCGGATAGAAAGAGGCTCCAAACAGCCCAAAATCGTATATTACGTCAAATTTCAAACTCACCCTGGTACATTCATAATAACTGTACCCATTTTGAGCTCAAAACGGACCAGCTTAATACTATGTATTGTAAATTAGAAAGGAATTTTTTCGAAAATCAAAAAAATATTCAAAACCCTGCCATTAAAATATGTAATTACGACATTAATGATCCTGCTAACTGCAAGCGCCCTATGGCCATACTTAATGTAAATATTGATTGATGTTTTCTTACTGTTACCTGCATTATTATTTAGCACTTGTATTATATATTGTAACTGTGCTTATTGTATTATGTATATATCTCCTCTCATATATGCACATATTTTGTATCTTGCTATCATATTTTGTATTTTGTTTGACAGGACAAGTGTCAATTTAATATTTCAAATTGCTCAAACTTATCCATTATTTACTAATATCTTGTTTAACTTTATTGCCTTTTTATTATAATATAACGACTTGCCTTAATGTTATTTGTGACAAATTTTATTATGTAACTTGTTACTTAAATCTCTTCATATAGATAAATTTTTTTTTGAAATTTTCTTTGTGTTAATGCACAAATAATTAGTAATTTTTTAATTTTGTTTGATAAGGGCCTTCGACCTTCGACCCAGTTGATAGGGCCTTCGACCCAGTTACCCGAGTGTATACTCCATTCCCCCGTGAAACAGAGGAAAACATTTCAGAGAAAACAACGAAAGGAGAAAATGTCAGGGTACAAAACATCGTGGGACAAAGGAAAGGGAAGAGAGAACATCGCAGTTCCAAAACATCATGGTACAAAATATCGCCGTCGAAAATAAAGCGGTTCAAAATCATCGCAGCCTAAAAATAAGTACTTACAAATCATCGCAGACATGCATTTTTCAGGTTTTAAAAGCTGTAAATGCATCGCATAATGACTTACTTGGGAGCGCAAGAAGGAAAGATGGATATTTTTACTTTTATATTTCATATTTTTGAAGGAACTAATAACTTTTTTAAAAGTAAGAAGGAAACTTTAGTATTTAAAAATTGAAAATGAGTAGAAAATTAATGCAACTTACAGCACTTAATTGAATTTTAAATTTACATAGTTAATTAACAAAGGTCATTAATAAATTAATCTTTTTTATAAAGTTTTACTCATAACTTTTCATGAAAAATACAGCCTCAAAATATTTAGAAAAAAGAAGATATATAACTGCATTAGGTTACCTCTATAAAAATTGCTTAGTTATGAAATTACTTTCTTTCAGGTTTGTTAATCTGATATTGTTTTAGTGAAAATTATATCTTGTTTTGTTTCCGTTTATTTTTAAAGTGTCGTGAACATTTCCTGCTCTTCCAGATCTTTATGCGAATATGCAGTTACAACTTTTAAAACCTGAAAAACGCATGTTTGCGATGTTATAGCCATACGATGATTTGTTATTTTTTACCACGATATTTTCGACGACGATGTTTTTAAACTGCGAAGTTTTTGAACCGCTTTATTTTCGACGACGATATTTTGTACCACGATGTTTTCTCTTTGCTTCCTTTTCTCCCACGATGTTTTGTACCACGACCTTGCGCTGTTTATTCCGCGATTTTTCGGCTGTAACTGTCCATGACACACCTGCCCATTTCATACTGGTCCGTGGTTCCATGCGTCGACATTGTGAAGCATGCAATAAGTGGCAAATGGAAGGAATTTTGAATATCTTCTGTGACATAATCATGTTCTTTAATAAAACTTCCTATTATCACCTCTTTCGATATCCCTCTACACCAAGGTTCTTTAATATTAACACCTGCGAACATTGCCCTCTAGCGGTCGCCATTCGCATTTTCGGACACAAATTCCAATGTAAATCTTGTTTGTCATGGTATGAGAGACCAGCATGTTAACTTTGGCAACGGCCTTCTGAGACGCCCTGTAGATAATAATGTTTGTTGATTGGTGTTTTACATGGGCATAATGCTCCATTTGATAAGT